ACAAAAATTAGGAAAATGAAATTTTCCATGGAAATTGTAACTCATGAAAGTTAGACAAAAATTAAGTGAAAATTGTTCCTATAAGGAGCTTGATATTCGTGAGAATCTTCAACCTTTATACGTATGACTTCATTTACCTAGGCAATAATAAATTTTAGGGTTAAATTTATCATTAATAAGTGTGAATCCTTTGCACTGTATCGAGCGTTTTAATAATTATTTATTATAATCATGTTTGATAATATTTATATCATGACTTTTTCGAGTTATAAATTTATAAAATGTTTCTAAGAAATTTTAAATATTTATATTTGAATCTTCGCAAAAGAAAAATGTTATATACGAATTTAATATCGTGATTTATTGCCATGTATGATAGATGAAAAGTGCAAAGGATTAAATTTATCACAAATTATACACAAACAGAACCGCAACAAGAAGATATATTTTGTGCATATTTTATTATTTATATTTTTTGTGATAGTTTTAATTGTATACTCGTGTAAATATTTGTTTATAATGTAAAAATTAATTTATAAATAAGTTTATCATATAATTTATAAATAAGTAAATTTTTTCTCTGTAATGATACTTAAAATTTTAAAATAATTTTTGTCTTTTTATTTTTTCTAAAACAAACATTCGTCTTATTGCGATTCTGTGTATATAGACTGTAAATGGTATTTATAAATTACATCTACTATTATATTTAAACTTAAACATTTCTATTTCTAGCAATTACTTTGATTCGAAGCATCAAACTATACAATTATACGTATACCATTGACGTGCTTCTTTCAAAGCTTTAATAGTACAATTATTTATATGAATATTTATATCGCTTTTTATACACGATGTAAACGAGAACGAATGTTTTCTAATATTTCCACGTTTCTATAAATGGTAAAAGTAATTTTGTCATTGTAGTTTTATCGAATAATCATGCTTTAATTCTCGAATTCTCATTTATTGTAATCACGAGACGTTTCTGACAATAATCGTTTTGTTGTAAACGTTAAGCAGTAGTTTCAATGATTTTGTTATAACGTCAAGTAACTAAAAATGAAAAAGATTTAAATTAGTAAAAATGATTATGAGGATAATTATACAACAAAATAATATTTGTTATCACCTATACTATGCTTCCAAATAATTGATTAGCGTTACATTTTTGTATGGATTATTTCGTTTTAAATGAAATGCACATACCATTTCTCATATTTTATATAGATATACATATTTATGTATGATGTACTTTGTGATCTAACAAATGATCTAAATTTATTGTAGTTGCCTCTTGAAATCATACACGTCGTTAAATAAAACATGTAAAAAAAGAACAATGTAATTTATTAACTTTTTTAATTTTATATAATGTTTTTAAGATTTTTAAAAGAGATAATAAGTACTTTTGATTTTGATAGACATTGAAATAATTTGATTGTCGTATAATTTATAATGGTATCTCAGTTTTTTAAACATTTTAATCCTACAAATCACCTATACAGAATGCACAATTCAAATTTGTCTGCGTCTGCACACAATAGTTCAGTTGCACAAACATATTTTTATGGCTGTCCTCATTTGCTCTCCTCTTCAAAAGAAAGCAGTCTCTCCATCCACTTACTTTCCACATGGTCTTAAAGTTGTGCCTTTAACATTCAAATTAGGATAAACCGTAGAATCTTTAGGATAAACCGTCCCATTTTCTTTTTCACTTCACTTCCACTTCAACATAGTGAATGATATATTAGAAGCGCACCAAAAATATCATCACTCGATAATTTTTCATTGCATCCATCAATCTTGTTTTCATCTTTCTCTTTCTTTCATTTTATCATTTATCTTCTATTTTTTCTTTCTCGATCAATGATACAATTCATATTCGAATTAAATAAAATATAATTAATACGGATAATTACTTTCTTTACATTAATGTGCGTGATTTCATTAACACAACAGATAGATGTATTTCACGAATCGTAAAATTTTGCCTCTCAGGATTATTAATTCCTTTCATTCGATGTTTTCGGATTTACCGACAATAGAATACGGTATCTTTAATTCTCTCAAACCCATCAAACTTTTTGGCACCGGTGTCGTTCCAGTTTTCGCTGATCCTTTTATTATCCGTACAGTTTCCTGGATTATTAAAGTTGGTGTTCGTAAAATCGCGAAGGCGGGACTAGACACCGGAAATGAGGTGTCTGGATATCAATGCGTAAGTATAGCGAGTATTAGGTAAAAGAGTATAGATGCGAATTTTGGACTGATACCTAACTTAACTTTCAATCGTCGTCAGAAAAATTTCGAATCGATGTTAATGTCTATCGAAATGATACGTATAGATATTTTCATGTTACTGCTTATTAAAAACAACGAATGAATTTCTTTTTTTTTTTTTTTCAATAGGAAGAGATTTTTCAACAATATTTTCAATTATCCAATTGTAATCTCAATTAGGCGAACGAGAGAAAAATAAAGAAAAGGATTTTAGTTAAAAATATTACGAGAGAGTAAAAGAATAAGAATCTACTCGGCCACGCGTATTGATTTGATTTATGTTCGATCAAGATACCAATTTAGGTCGCATTATGGAATTCGAATCGTAGACGCATCGTTGAAATTAGGAAAATATATCGACGATTATCAATCGCTCAATGATGATTGCAACATTTAAACAGATGATAATACTAACGAAGGGCAATATTTGTTCACAGAGGAAAATATTTAATAAAGAGTGAAAAGCATCGAGACAATGGAAAATTGTTGAATAGGATCCTCGTGACAATAGAGCGTAGAATAGAATAGCGAATTCATAGCGATAGAATGGAACGGACAATAGATGGTCAATGATAATAGAAAATGTTACATAATGATTCAGTTACGTAGGCATAAAGAAATTAACGAAATGCGTTTTCCGAAAAGCTTCTATTCATCTATCCCCGTGAAGAGAACTATAACCACCATCCGAGTAAAAATCTACCTTCGAATAAATCTAAACGATAGAAATATTCGACAAAACACGCGTTGTTGAAATAGAAAATTATTTGACGTATTCTAAAAAGAATACTTTTTCATCGATAAAAGTTCCACGCGAATGAACGAGATGAACACGATGAACGGGCCGATGAAAAAAGATTATCAAGCATCGTTTCGTTAACAGAAGTTGAAACTTTATCCCGGTTGGACGAGATTTAGTACAGATAAAAAAAATTGAGTCGGACGAGAGAGAAAGAAACAAGTATCAAAATTTTCTCTCGAATAGTGGGAACACGCGTGTGATACGATACGGAGTGGGGAAAAATATAAAAGAAAGTTTAGCGGATAAAAAGTTTCGAGTCGTGTGAAGATACACGTGAATGTACGCGTCGGGAACGAGATCATCGATGATTCGTTATCGCGTACGGAAATGCACGAAATACGTTTTCAATTTGTTCTTTTCAATTTATAGTGAATGATTCGAGTCGATCGAAACACGCGATATATTTGTATTTTTGCCGGCCATCGTATTATGATATTTTAAATTCGTCCATTTTGTCCGATAATTAATTGGATAAACCGGATGCACCTTTAGAACCTCGAACATGAATGTATTTATACGAGTGAGTATGCAACGATTATATGATTCTACTGATAGAATATTTTTCATCGCACACAGTTTTAGAACAATATCATGAATGAATAATCAATTAATATCGATCATTTCAAATGATCAACGCGAATGGACAATAATTAATCGTTCTCGTCGCTAGAACTGGTTTCTAGTTGCACTTTTCGTTTTACCGCTCGAGATTATCGAAATGGGAAATGGTTACAAACTGATCAGACCGTACAAGTACTATCAACGTAGACCATTGCGGTGGTCTGGATGGTGGCACGCGGATCACAAATCATCCAAGTTCTACCGTTCTAAAAGGATATCGCCGGAAGACTATTACTCCCGCAGACCGATCTATAATAGGTATGGAATGAATAGTAAGTTATACAAGTTATATATGTGATTTGAAAAACAAGAATCAAACCAATTTTTCCTCGATTTCATTAGCTGCTTTTCGTTCGATTTGTTACGTTTATCATATTAAATATTATATAAATATAAAAGAATTTTTTCTTCTTATATTTAGATAGATTCATTGTTATAATAGAATCGCCGATATCAAACCTTTTAAACTAAATAAATCTTAGTTAAAAATATATTTCGATAAATTGACATTTCAGATATGGTTTGGCGAGAGACGATTTTGATGGACGTATCGAAAATTATCCCTGTATCATCGTGATACAATTGTCTAAAGAGAGAAACGAATACGAAGACGATAAAAGGAAATACGAAAGAATTCCTACGTACGCCAGTGAAAATGATTACGTCGAGGATAACGACGAATCAAAGATATTCGACGTTAATAACAGAAACGTGCAAATACAGGTAAAAATGAAAAACTAGTAATGGTAGTAATTTGCTTAATCTGTTTCTACGATCTTTGGAGCAATATATTTTTTTTTCCACGATTTTAGATGGTCAAAAGTGAAAATCCAAAATTGCATATCAAAATATCAAGATCGGATAACGAAAAAGATATTAAAATTATGGATAAATTGAATATCAATGTACGAGACCATCATTGACAAATATATACAAATTTAATATTTGCTCAACGATGGAATAACATCGAATTATATCTTATTTGAAAAAAATTTTTAATGAAAATGAATATTCTAGCGATTGAATTAATAATTGTTTAGAAAATAATTTTTTCGAGAAATCTCTCTCTTGATCAAATCTCAAGAATTATAAGGATTGAAAACAAAATATTTTTAAAAATTCCTGTATTTATTATGTCGTATTATAATTATTACAAAATCAATCATTACTTTACTTAATTATAAATGATAATATATATTTCGTATTTAAAATATAAAAATGGTTATTAACGTAATGAATTTTGTTGTTGTATTAATAATTTCTGGAATAAAATAATAAAATCGTGAATATTTTTTGGAGGAATAAAATAAAAAATTATTATTGTTATTAATATAAACGATTTTAATTTTAAGGATAAAATTATTGGAATTGGAATTGGAACGCGTTAAATTCTTTTATCTTCGTTCATTTATGAATTAACGATAGTCGAGAAAATAAATATGCGATCTGAATAGTGCGAGTCTGGGGCGGAAGCCTTTAAACAATACAACATATTGATTTTTGCCCGTACCGCTTTTTCCACGGAGCATTGTTTCGGAAAATGCACCATCTTTCCAATTGGTTAATGGAATGCGAATTCGACAATCGAGTTTTAAATTCAATTTACGGAAAATAAAGTTTTGGTCGAAAAAAGGATCGAAGGAAGATAGGAAAAAATACAACGTAACAAAAGAAGCGACAACTCGCAATTCGTTCGGGAAAATTTAAATCTTTGCAAAATAAAATCGAAAAATAAATATCGGAAAGGAGAGCGAAATTGTTGGGAAAGAATATTTATTCGTTCGAGGAGAGAGAGAAAAAGAAAAAAAAAAAAAAAAA